TTTATCTAGCAAGTTCAACTCATAGTAATATTTCATTCTCGACCATTTTGTGATTTTACTTATAAATGCGAGGCCAAAAAGAATAGCAATTAGCAACAATAAGCAAAATGGGATCCACCAAAAATTACACAAGCCTTTCGAATTTGAAGGTTGAAATAAAGAATGGAAAATAATGGCACAAAAGGAAATGTAAGAAACGACATACCAAATGGCCTTTGTTTCAGTTTCCTCTATTCTTTTCTCTTGTATTCCTATGGTACAGCACAATTCTCTATAGTCGATGGTCAGTTTTTCCAATCTTAAATTCACTTCCGGCGTCATAGTTAAGTTTTGAGATTGGGTTTGCATTTCTAATATTGGACGAGTAAATTTATGTACCACGTTAGAAATAAACAAATAAAATTTGATGGCCAAATGAAACCTACAAATAAAAGAGATAACAATAATTCCAAAAAAAAAAAAAATGATATAACGAGGAAGAAAATAAATAATGAGGAAAAGAAGAAATGATATAAAAAAGAGCAAGGGAAACAAATGAACTAATAACTTCCAGGGATACAAAGGAACCGAAACTCATTGTGTATATATATAGTTTGGAATCCGCGTGATATTAAACAAACAATATATTGAAAAATTAATTAAAAACGACTTCACAGATGAAGTTTTTTGAATTAATTAAAATTAATTATTTAATTACTGTAAGGTCAATATTCAATATTCTTGGTTTCCCATTGAATTTCATCGTTTTGTCCTGCTTGAATTATACATTTAGCATTGAAAAATATCATTCTTAGCTAAAATATAAATTTTAGCTGCTCTTCAAAATAATATATAATCCTAACTAACGACATTAATAATATCATATTGCAACTTTTACATTTGAAAGTCTTCTCTGATATTTAAAGAATAATAAGAAGAAGAAAAAGAGGAAACCATGCATGTCAAAAGAAAACAAATGTTTGAAACTCTACGTGAATTGCGGAGGTGGAAAAATGAATCATGTATGAAAAAAAAAATTGTTTAATGCATAATTAGATGATCTATATATATTGTCTAATATCGGAGAAAATAATAGGATTTGATGATATGATATAAGATATTAACACACACAAACATATATCGGAGAAAATGATTTTTAAAAATCTCAAAATTTCAATTTTTCATCCCAAATTATAAGTTTCCTACATAAGTGAACTGTTCTAATTGATATTATACGCAAAATTATTAGAACTATTTGTTACACTATTACTACATTTGACATTTATTGTAGCCTAATGAAGTAAATAACAAGACCCTGAATATCCGAGAAAAAAAAAAAAAACGAGCACTTTTTCATAATGTTGTGAAATCATAAAATTCAGTATATATATAAAACTAATTTAATTACTTGTCTATATTGAAAAAACGAAGAAAAAAAAAATTCCAATGTGGTTCGACTCAAATTCTCTATTGCATCACAGGCCAATTAATTTCAGCTACTATTGCCCACAGATCCTTATGCAGTTATCACCATTACAAAGCTTAACACATTTATGATTCACTTCTGGCAAAAAAAAATTCCAATGTGGTTCGACTCAAATTCTCTATTGCATCACAGGCCAATTAATTTCAGCTACTATTGCCCACAGATCCTTATGCAGTTATCACCATTACAAAGCTTAACACATTTATGATTCACTTCTGGCAAATCGTGGCATTTACTATCTCTGCAAATAATATGCCAGCAACCATAAAGCGTAACAATGGCGAAGCCAATGAAGAGAAGCATGCAAGCTGCGAACAAAATGTTACGTCTAACTTCTTTATAAGGGTCAATCCATAATGGTTCTGAGTGTTGGGTTTTCTGCAACATTTGCCTTGAACTTTCAAGATTATTATACTCGCTCCAGGTTTTGTCATGCTGGGCTACGATTTTCTTGTACTTGTATGCAATCTTACTTAGGGCAATCAGATTGAGAGTTGCTGCTAAGAGAGAAAGAGTGAAAATGAACCAACGATCTGAGCATTTGAGAGAAGAATTTCCATTGCAAATTGTTGTTAAAATAACACCTTGAAATACAAAATAAAAATTAGCTAATTGGAAAGCATTCGTTTGAAGATTCTGAAGATGATCTTCTTGACTCTTTATTCTGGTTCTTACTTCCTTCATCCTTTTCTCTATATCTTCCATGGTGACAGGTAGCTCCACATGCAGGTGTGAGTGAGAGCGAAAAAATTCTTGAATACATATAATTTACTATATATCAAGAAAATGCTCGCTTTTATAGGCATGCATGGTTAAGTTTATCAATTAATTTGATTTATATGTTAGTTACCAACTGTCGAACAATTGTAAGCTCTCCACATTATTATATTATTATTCTATAGACAACTAAGCCTTTTTACTTTTTTTAGAACATTATGTGTAGGTTTCAAATATTGAAAGATGAGATCGGATTATGTTTTGTAGAAGTGAGTAACGAGAATTTGGAAATTGAGTTCTTTCTATCACAAATTATTAATGTATGAAAAAACATGTCATATCATGTATTATAATGTTAATTAGTCTATATATAAATAATGAATAAACAAAATAAAATCATAGATTAATGGAAAAAAATATAATAATAAACAAATAAACCAAAGACATCCTTATGATTTTATAAATAAACAAAAAAAAATATATATTTTTTTGGAATTATACCAAGGGTATCCTTTCATCTCCGTTTAACAATTTGATAAAAGACTAATCCATTTCCTTCGATCTTGTAATCATTAAAGATGAGATCTAGTACGTTTTAACTATTAGACTAAACTATCTTGAGTAATAATAAAAATATTTTAGTTTGAAAATATACAGCCTTACCTCGTGATATCTATAAATTTGATAAGACTTACTTACACTGGTATATGAGACTATCCATATACCATGCCAATTAAATAAATATTTTTTTAAGAATTATTACTATTTTATTTTCTTTTTTTTAATGAATGGTGAAAAATAAACTCGTTTGAGTGAAAAATTATTTTTGATATATTTCTTGTATGGTTAGGATCACACGGAACATGCTATCTAGAAGGTCTATCTTCAAGTAATTGTAGTCGCATTTTACATTTCTTGCTTAGTTTACATATTTAAAACCAGGCTGACTGTTATCTTACGCGTATTGAAACATTCATTCGGTTAATTCATTATATTCAAATGAATTAGAAAACATTATCAAGGATATAAACTTGACAAGGTAATTAGAAGCATAGTCATTAAACTCAGATACACCAATAGGGAGTCAACCTGGAGAACCGGTCTTAAAATCAGTCCGATTTTACTTTTGAACCATTTGAGGCAGATTACTGAATTGAATTGGTTGACATGTGGTTGAACCGATCGATCTACATAGACTCAATTGATCCCACCGATTTTTTATATTTTTAATTATATTATAGATATTTTAAATTATAATTATGTAATAAGTACATATTATTAATATTTTTATAACTCACTAATTGAACCATTGACCTACCAGATAAACCAATGACTCATCCAACTATTTCTTTAGCCGGGTTGGGTTCAATAACACTTGTTAGAAGCATTGACGCTTCAAATTTTACGAAAATTAGAATGTGACATATGTTCAACACCTTCTTTATATATATATTCCCTCAGTCTTAAATGGCTAACAAAGGTTCATACAGAATATCAAATTGTTCATTCATACTTTTTTTATTTTTTTTCAGAGAGGACATTCAAAAGTTCAAAGTCTCAAAACTATATTCATTATGTTAGCTGAGAATTTTAGAATATAATTAAATGTTCACATAATCCAAGCAAAAGTTAGTTACCATGAAATATAATTAATGGGAAACCAAATCTGAAAACTAATAAATAGACTTTTATATTAAATTATTTGCGATTAAACTTGACCTTGACCTTCAATTGTTTTCCATTTTTCAGAGCTTATATATACAAACCAAGCTGCCATAATGAAACCGGACATGGTTAAAGGTACATCAAAAAGACAAACTTATATTACATTGGTTTCGTGGTCTGTGTTAAGAATCCCACATTCTTCAAATACCAAATCTATAAAGAGTTGAGAGAAGTGTTAAGAATCTGATATTGTTAAAATATCGAATCCAAAGTCATGGGTTCTAACCTGCTGTGATTTTGGGTGCCTGCTGTTCAATCCATTGCAAGTGAAGGAAACTTTCAGTGGTGAGTTATTGTTCAATCCATTGCAAGTGAAGGAAACTTTCAGTGGTGAGTTATTCATTCTTCATTATCCTCTTTGTATCATCTAACAAATTGGAACATTGTTCAAATGAAACTTTATTATTTTGATCATAATACATTCTATTTACTACAATGGAGTCTCACCAAAATTTTTAGTAAAAAATTAGGAGCTCGCACTTACAGATGTAATAAAAACCCATTCACAAACTTTATTGCAATTATTCAAGGAATAATTAAAATTTCTTTTTATGTCGGAACTATGAATTGATCTGACTTTGATATGAGTAACTAGGAATAATTATTTATTGAATGAAATTCACAAATTTATTTATTTTATTTGTCATTTTATTTTGTCTGTTGGCTTTTCCCACATTTTTATTAAACAATATTTTTGAAATTGTTTAACTAAATGTGTTGATTTTTATCCTTCAAAAAAAAAAAAGTATTGATTTTTTATTTACTAAGTTGAATATGAAAGAAGAAAATTGTATTCATGTTTTGTTCTTTTTTAAGATTAAGATGACAATTGCAAGATTTTTGTTCTTTTTTAAGATTAAGATGACAATTGCAAGATTTTTAAATTTTATTAAAAAAAAAAGAAAAGCAATTATGCAATTTTGATAATAATAAGTTATTATCTGTGATGTCTACTTAACGTAAAAATTATTAATTTATGAAAATGGTTATTTTTTATTGCCTCTGTATACTATATTGTGCTTAAGATTATTATTTACAAAAAAAATTCTCACTTTATAAAAATATTATTTTCCACGAATAAAATAATTTGTTATGACACAATAAAAATATAATTCCATTCATCAAGTTATAATATAAGGAGTACAAATAATCCTTGAAAACAAGGAAAATTACGAAATAAAGGGAAAAAAAAAAAAAACAAAAGGAACCTTCAAACAACCGTTCCGACTATCAAAACTACAGTGAACTGAGAAAACAAAAACAGAAAGAAATTCTTAGAGCCACTTTTTAGAGACGAAGAACACCAATAACATAAGCAGGTCCAACTTCAAATCCTAATTAAACAAGCCAAACTGAACACTAAGCATACCCTGCACGCCGGAGCTAAGACAATTATTTTGGAGGAGATAAACGAAATTATTTAATCTTATTTTGTGATCTTCTAATTGCTTCTTTGGCCATTGAATCATAAGCAAAATGATTGCCTTCAATTCCTTTTGTAGTCTGTTCAATGAAAAAAACCAAGTAAGTGTCAAGATATGATATATAATTCTAATTTTAAATATCTCAATCAATTAAATTGGGAAGGAAAAAAAAATTCCAAGTGCAATTTGAATTAGTATAAGATTCAAAAGGCTTTTAACAAGCCCACCAACTTGCAAGAACCGATCTACAACAATTAGTCAACACTTTCCATTAAAGGCCCAATAATACCCATGTATTTCCACTCAAAGTCAACGACTAATAGGAAAATTTTTTATTTAGATGGATTTATATATCTGTTTATAGATCACACCAATTAAAAATTCTCACTAAAAATGAAAGTATTTATAATCATATATTTATATAAAAAATAAAATAAAATTAAAATATTTTAAAAAAATCATTAATTTCATTTGTTGTCAACCCAAGCCCTAAACACTAAATCATACGTCCTAAGCCCTAAACCCTGAATAAAGTTGAAAAATTGGTTTGATTTTGGACAAGTATTTTCCTTGACAAGGTAAAGACGTACCTTTTAAAACTTCTAAAATTTCAATGGATGAGCTCTTCTTCCCCTGTTTGGCGACCTCTGCCCATGAGAAAGCGCAGTCCGCTGTTAACCAACAACATGAAGCTTAATTAATTAAAAGAAATTGCATGGATCCTGTAAATATATATTTGCAGGGTAGGAAAGTTTCAATGCATGGATCCTGTAAATATATATTTGCAGGGTAGGAAAGTTTCAATCTATGGATGAAAGATGAGAAAAAATATATATATAAAGAAGAGCAAAGAAAATGAAAACCGTAGGCGGCGGAGGTGGCAAGTAAAGGTGGTTGGGCGGATCCCTTTCACGATAAGCTGGCCACTGTTATTATCAACGGAGAAGGAGATTTTGAGATACTGGATAAAGTGTTGAGGTGCCAAGTGCCTTTCCGTTAAGACTCCGTCGATGAACAATTTAAAGACCATAGGCCTTCCAGACTCGATGCCTCGGCGGAAGTACAAGGTGGCTTTAATCTCCTTGGAACCAAAAGGTTTCAGTTCTATACATTCAGGTTGATAAGGGTGCGATTCTTGGATCTTTATTCTACCGTTTGTATTATTTTCTAGTATCGTTACCCTAGACAGCAGCGGCACCATGAAGGCCAGTTCTGTTGTTTTTCGCTTTTCTTTTCGGTAATCTAAAACACATAAAGGAGAATTATTTATAGGGCTGCGACTGGAAATATGTGAACATAGATAAAGAAAATCTTGATAATTGAAGTGGGCGGCGGCTAAGATATCAATACTCGCATTGCGATATATGAACATAGAAAATTCTGATAACTTGAGTAAGACATTCTAGAATGCTTTATTGGATAAGATATCCATAACCGGGTCGCAATATATGAAAGTTTATACGAATAAATCCATCCCTTCGGTCTTATAAATTTTATCTATCAAGAAAAATTAGTTAAATATGTTCTTGTTACTTAATTTGTTCTATAATAAAGGTAATTGGCTAATATATAAGTGAAAGATTCAATGTTGATATTTTAATTTTGTTTAATTTTTAATAGTTTGAAGCATATTAAATAAAGATAAAATAGTAAGCTTAAATTATTTTATATATAAATGTGAAAATGAGGGAGAATAATGAGACTTTTAATAATATTTTTATAATTAGAAACGGTAATTTTAAAATTAAAATCAGCGGTTTAAAAATATAATCATAGGTAATTTTAATATCGTTGAGGAATAAAGCAATTAATTTCAACGGAAAAAAGTAGTATTAATTATTTCATGTAAATATGATAACTATAGAACTTTCCTTTAATATAGATATAGATGTATATAGAAAGATATTGAATATATATATAATAAACATTAATTTTTAAAATTAAAAATTATATCAAAATAATGCAATAATTAAAATTTTAAATATTGAAAATAAAAAAAAAAAAAATAGTACTCTCTTTCTCAGATAATTAAAGTTGGATTAAATTTGACTAGATCTCATTTATGTTGGAAGGGCTTTGCATGAGTAGTAACTTGTTAAATATTAATTCTGTTCTTGAATTAACCTCTTATGTGTGCTTATTCTTGCATCAACAGACATCCTTTTTATCAAATAAAAATAAAATAAATCCAATTTCAGAAGTTTGTCTACTTTATGGACTTTTATAGTAAAAAAAAAAAAAAAAATCCACTTCTTCTAAAAATTTCCAATTGCACCCTCTATTATTTTATTTTTTCTTAAACAATTTTCAGATGGGCAATAATTAAATAGAATTAAGAATTGTAGAGGTGAATTTAAAGCTATAGATGAACTGAGCAACAGCTATAGAGAAATTGGGGAGTTATCAATTTTATATAGTAAAACTGTGAAATAAAGAACATTTGGGCTTTATGGCCGTTATGAAATATATTTTTAACGTATTGAACCCCTAGCCCAAGGCCCAATAAAAATTTAGGCCTAATTTCAGATGTCACCACCATAGTGCATAGTCATTGGGAAGCATTCCTTTCGTCCTCTCCTGAACAAGCCTCTTCCTCCACTTCAGTTGCCACAACCATACATGGGCAGTCTATAACAGTTATGTGTGGCGTATTCTTGGACACTTAAATAAAAGATTTTCAGGTATGTGTTTGGATTTTGTTAAAATTTCTTTTGCTTTTTAATGCTTTTACTGTTTTCTTTATTTGTTTTATATAATTCAGATCGATCTGTTCTCTTTTCCCTGTGTTCTTCAAGTGAATGCTCTTACTGGGTATTAATTATATGGTTATAAAATTTTTAGCGGCTTAAATAAAAGGGAATTTTGTTTTTTATGTTTTGTATCAATTCTTTGTTTGTTCATTGATTTTGGGCGTATTATAAATCAGATAATTTTTCCCAATCTGATGAACTCTTAAGTTATCGCAAATAGCTATCTTTGTCTTGCTTTCTTGGTTGATTTATGATAAAGATAGGGGAAATGCTCAGAAGTAGAGAATTAATGTTCTTATAGTGCTGACTTGCTCTTCCCTAAGCCGTTTGGTAGGCTTCTACCCCAAAGTAAAGTGGTCTTTTTTCAAGGCTCTAAGCTCAAGACCCGTGCCTGGCTCGGGGAATATCTAGTTTGGTATGTAGTTTCCCACCGTACTAATTACTTGAGAAATGATTGCTACACCTTTCTTGAACATCTCAGTCTAATTAAACTTCATTTATATGCCTATAAAACACCTTTCTTGAACATCTCAGTCTAATTAAACTTCATTTATATGCCTATAAATCATATATCTTCCCTTTGAAGTGATTTGCAAAACTAAATTATGAGTGAAAGGACCTATTTTAAGATTATTGAAAACAAAAATGAATAAGTGAATTTGTTTTGATGTATAACTTAGTTATTGATGTCTTATCTAAGCTATCTTTTAATTATTAATGTTTATGTTGTTAGGTGTTAGAAATTTTGGTAGATATTCTGCATGAATGGGAAGCCTTCTTTACCTTTCTTTTTTGACACATGGAGTGGAAGAATTTGATAGGAAAATAAAAAAGACAATATTAATGTAAAAGACAATATTAATGTCTGGAATTTTCCGGTAGCATTAATGATTCTCCGGTTGGTTTCTCAAATATTTTATCATGGAGTTGCTCCTGCTTTATAGGAATTCTGTTTCATTTGAATCGATAGTACCTACCGCTTGGAAGAAAATGCAACTTACTTTGCCCTTTAAGTTTTTTAAAACCCGGCCAAAGCCCGTAGGCCCTGATTTTCCTTTTACTGCTCCATCAACATTAAATTTAAAACAGTTGCCATTCGGAGGAATCCAAGGCAAAGATGATTTAACAACAGAAGTTACTTTCTTGAAAGGTAACCTACTACAGGAAACCAAAAATGGCCGACAACACCAATCCTTATAATCATAATGGATAGAAGGAAATCTGGATTCTAACAATTCAAAACTTCAAAATTTAAGACCATCCAATACATCCTCACAGCTTTGAGAAATAAAGAAAAAAATTACCTGGTTGCATCTCAACATTAAAGACGATGAGGCAATGGAAAATATTATTTTCCATGCTACCCATACACCATTGAAACTTATCAAACTCTCCCATTTTCAACCTAAGTTATTAAAATTTAAAAATTTTATCATATGGCTTCAATTTTATTATTTTTGAGGAGAAATTCCACCTCAATTTTGGAAGAAGTGAGATTTCTTAGTTCTATCAATTTTTTTTATGATAAAATTTAAACTACTTAATCTTTTTCCAAAAATAACGGTCAAAATCATATATTTTGTTTTCGTTTTTAAAGAAAAATATTAACTTCCATTAACACAAATCAATATCAATTAGTCTTCCATTAAAAGCACATGACAATATCAATTAGTCTTCCATTAAAAGCACATGACCCCCTTAAAATCAAAGGTAGAATATGTATAAGTAGCCACTGGATAAATGAGTAATTGCTAACCATTCACTGAAGAAACAAGAAAAAGTGAAATAAGAGTTATTCATTGGTTTTGTAACAAGTAATTTCCTTTATTTCCAAAGCTAAAATATCTTTGGCCATAGTTATTATACTTTTATTTATCCATACCATACCATCTCATCCCAATCTTCTTATTACTCTAACTTCATCTGCAAGCAATGGAGCTACAAGCAATCAACATGACAACAGTGAAGGCAAACAAGACACAGACCATGAAACAAATGTAAGCTTGTCTTCGATGTACTTCAAACATGTCCGGTTTCGTCATCATCTCTTCCTGCTCCTTCCGATCTTCGATTTGAAATTTGTGATGTTTAATTAAGAACATTTTGTAGAACAAAGTTTCTTTATCTAGCAAGTTCAACTCGTAGTAATATTTCATTCTCGACCATTTTGTGATGTTACTTATAAATGCGAGGCCAAAAAGAATGGCAATTAGCAACACTAAGCAAAATGGGATCCACCAAAAATTACATAGCAACACTAAGCAAAATGGGATCCACCAAAAATTACACAAGCCATTCGAATTTGAGGGTTGAAATAAAGAATGGAAAATGATGGCACAAAAGGAAATGTAAGAAACGACATACCAAATGGCCTTTTTTTCAGTTTCCTCTATTCTTTTCTCTTGTATTTCTATGGTATAGCACAATTCTTTATGGTTGTTGGTCAGTTTTTCCAATCTTAAATTCACTTCCGGCGTCATAGTTAAGTTTTGAGATTGGATTTGGATTTCTAATATTGGACGAGTAAATTTATGTACGACGTTAGAAATAAACAAATAAAATTTGATGGCCAAATGAAACCTACATATAAAAGAGATAACGATAATTCCAAAAAAAAAAAAAAAAAAAAAAAAAAAAAAAAAAAAAAAAAAAAAAAAAAAAAAAAAAAAAGATTTAACGAGGTAAGAAAATAAAATGATGAGGAAAAAAGAAGAAACGATATAAAAAAGCAGCAAGAGAAACAAATGAACAATAATTCTAGGGATCCAAAGGAACCGAAAACTCATTGTGTATATATATAGTTTGGAGACGGCGTGATTATTAAACAAACAAAAAAAAAAAAAAAAAAAAAAAAAAAAAAAAAAAGATATAACGAGGAAGAAAATAAATGATGAGGAAAAGAAGAAATGATATAAAAAAGAGCAAGAGAAACAAATGAACTAATAACTTCTAGGGATCCAAAGGAACCGAAACTCATTGTGTATATATATAGTTTGGAGACCGCGTGATATTAAACAAACAATATATTGAAAAATTAATTAAAAACGACTTGACAGATGAAGGTTTTTGAATTAATTAGAAATTAATTATTTAATTACTGTAAGGTCAATGTTCAATATTCTTGGTTTCCCATTGAATTTCATTGTTTTTTCCTGCTTGAATTATACATTTAGCATTGAAAAATATCATTCTTAGCTAAAATATAAATTTTAACTGCTCTTCAAAATAATATATAATCCTAACTAACGACATTAATAATATCATACTGCAACTTTTACATTTCAAAGTCTTCTCTGATATTTAAAGAATAATAAGAAGAAGAAAAAGAGGAAACCATGCATGTCACAAGAAAAGAAATGTTTGAAACTCTACGTGAATTCTGGAGGTGGAAAAATGAATCATGTATGAAAAAAAAAAAAAATTGTTTAATGCATAATTAGATGATCTATACATATTGTCTAATATTGGAGAAAATAATAGGATTTGATGATATGATATAAGATATTAACACACACATGTATAAGCACACACACAAACATATATATAAAATTCCATGCATTAGGTGTTATAAAGCTCGTTATTTAATTAAAATTAAATTATTAAAATAAAAAAAATTTAAGAATAAAGAAAATGATTTTTAAAAATCTCAAAATTTCAATTTTTCATCCCAAATTATAAGTTTCCTACATAAGTGAACTGTTCTAATTGATATTATACGCAAAATTATTAGAACTATTTGTTACACTATTACTACATTTGACATTTATAGTAGCCTAATGAAGTAAATAACAAGACCCTGAATATCTGAGGAAAAAAAAAAAAACGAGCACTTTTTCATAAAGTTGTGAAATCATAAAATTCAGTATATATATATAAAACTAATTTAATTACTTGTATATATTGAAAAAAAGAAGAAAAAAAAAATTCCAAAGTGGTTCGACTCAAATTCTCTATTGCATCACAGGCCAATTAATTTCAGCTACTATTGCCCACAGATCCTTATGCAGTTATCACCATTACAAAGCTTAACACATTTATGATTCACTTCTGGCAATTCGTGGCATTTACTATCTCTGCAAATAATATGCCAGCAACCATAAAGCGTAACAATGGCGAAGCCAATGAAGAGAAGCATGCAAGCTGCGAGCAAAATGTTCCGTATAACTTCTTTATAAGGGTCAATCCAAAAGTTTTGGGTTTGCTGCACCCTTTCCCTTGAAATTTCAATATCATTGTACTCGCACCAGGTTTTGTCATGCTGGGCTACGATTTTCTTGTACTTATGTGCAATCTTGCTTAGGGCAATAAGATTGAGAGTTGCTGCTAAGAGAGAAAGAGTGAAAATGAACCAACGATCTGAGCATTTGAGAGAAGAATTTCCATTGCAAATTGTTGTTAAAATAACACCTTGAAATACAAAATAAAAATTAGCTAATTGGAAAGCATTCGTTTGAAGATTCTGAAGATGATCTTCTTGACTCTTTATTCTGGTTCTTACTTCCTCCTTTCTTTTCTCTGTATTTGCCATGGTGACAGGTAGCTCCACATGCAGGTGTGAGTGAGAGAGAAAAGATTCTTGAATACATATAATTTACTATATATCAAGAAAATGCTCGCTTTTATAGGCATGCATGGTTAAGTTTATCAATTAGTTTGATTTATATATTAGTTACCAACTGTCGAACACTTGTAAGCTATCCACATTGTTATATTATTATTATTCTATTGACAACAAAGCCTTTTTTTTTTTTTTTTACAACATTATGTGTAGGTTTCAAATATTGAAAGATGAGATCGGATTATGTTTTGTAGAAGTGAGTAATGAGAATTTGGAATTTGAGTTATTTTTACCACAAAATTATAAAAAATTATCAAAATATGAAAAAATGTGTCATATCATGTTAATTAGCCTATATATAAATAATGAATAAACAAAATAAAATCATAGATTAATGAAAAAAAAATATAATAATACACAAATATACCAAAGACATCCTTATGATTTTATAAATAAATAATAATATATATATTTTTTTGAAATTATATCAAGGGTATCCTCTCATCTTTGTCTAACAATTTGATAAAAGACTAATTCATTTCCAACGATCTTGCGATCATTAAGGTGAGATGCAGTGAGTTTCAACTATTAGACTAAACTATCTTGGGCAATAAAAATATTTTAGTTTGAAATTGTACAGTCTTGCTTCGTGATATCTATAAATTTAATAAGACTTACCTACACTGATATATGAGACTATCCATACACAAAGCCAACTGAATAAATATTTTTTAAAGAATTTTTTTTTTCAATGAATGGTAAAAATTAAATTCCTTTGAGTAAAAAATTATTTTTAATTTGATTTAGTGTATGGTTAGGATCACACGTAACATGCTGCTAGCTAGAAGGTCTATCTTCAAGTAATTGTAGTCGCATTTTCCATTTCTTGCTTTGTTTACATATTTAAAACTAGGCTGACTGTTATATTGCGCGTATTGAAACATTCATTCGGTTAATTCATTATATTCAAATCAATTAGAAAACATTATCAAGGATATAAACTTGATAAGGTAATTAGAAGCATAGTCATTAAACTCGGATCAACCCATAGCGAGTCAACCTGGAGAACTGGTCTTAAAATCGGTTTGATTTTGTTTTTGACCCATTTAAGGTAGATTACCGAATTGAATTGGTTGACGTGTGGTTAAACTGATTGATCTACAGAGACTCAATTGATCCCACCAATGTTTTATATTTTTAATTATATTATAGTTATTTTAAATTATAATTATATAATAAGTATATATTATTAATATTTTTATAACTCACTAATTAAACTATTGATCCACCGGATAAACCAATGACTCATCCACCTAGTTCTTTAGCCGGGTTGGGTTTAATAACACTTGCTAGAAGCATTCACGCTTCAAATTTTGCGAAAATTGGAATGTGACATATGTTCAACACCTTCTTATATATATATATATATATATATATGTTCCCTTTTTGTCTTAAATGGCTAACAAAGGTTCATACAGAATATCAAATTGTTCATACATACTTTTTTTTTTTTTTCAGAGAGGACTTTGAAAAGTTCAAAGTCACAATACTATATTCATTATGTTAGGTGAGATTTTTAGAATATAATTAAATATTCACATAATCCAAGAACAAGTTAGTTACCATGAAATAATTAATGGAAACCAAGTCTGAAAACTAATAAATAGACGTTTATATTAAATAATTTGCAATTAAACCAGCATTTTTTAACTTGACCTTCAATTGTTTTCCATTTTTCAGAGCTTATATATACAAACCAAGCTGCTATAATGAGACCGGACATTCTTCAAATATCAAACCTATAAAGAGTTGAGGGAAGTGTTAAGAATCTCATGTTGTTAAAATATCGAATCCAAATTCATGGGTTCTAGCCTGCTGTGATTTTGGGTGCCTGCTGTTCAATCCATTGCAAGTGAAGGAAACTTTTAGTGGTGAGTTATTCATTCTTCATTATCCTCTTTGTATCATCTAACAAATTGGAACATTGTTCAAATGAAGACTTTATTATTTTGATCATAATACATTCTATGAAGCATTGTTCAAATTGAATTCAATCCATTGCAAGTGAAGGAAACTTTTAGTGGTGAGTTATTCATTCTTCATTATCCTCTTTGTATCATCTAACAAATTGGAACATTGTTCAAATGAAGACTTTATTATTTTGATCATAATACATTCTATTTACTACAATGGAGTCTCACCAAAAATTTTTAATAAAAAATTAGGAGCTCGCACTTACAGATGTAATAAAAACTCATTCAAAAACTTTATTGTAATTATTCAAGGAATAATTAGAACTTCTTTTTATGTCGGAACTATAAATTGGTCTGACTTTGATATGAGCAACCGGTTCAACTCATGTTTAATTTAATAATTTATAAAATGTACAGTAAATATTTTTTTTCTCAATTATTATATCACTCTATATTCAGCATTTGATTACATTGCAAATAAAAATTGTAACTATATTTATTCAAAAATTTTATTTTTCTCAATTATTTATTGAATGAAATTCACAAATTTATTTATTTTATTTGTCGTTTTATTTTGTCTTTTGGCTTTTCCCACATTTTTATTAAACAATATTTTTGAAATTGTTCAACTAAATGTGTTGATTTTTATCCTTCAAAAAAAAAAATGTATTGATTTTTTATTTACTAAGTTGAATATGAAAGAAGAAAATTGTATTCATGTTTTGTTCTGTTTTAAGATTAAGATGACAATTGCAAGATTTTTAAATTTTATTTAAAAAAAAGAAATGCAATTATGCAATTTTGATAATAATAAGTTATTATCTGTGATGTCTACTTAACGTAAAAATTATTAATTTATGAAAATGGTTATTTTTTATTGCCTCTGTATACTATATTGTGCTTAGGATTATTACTTACAACAAAAATTGTCAATTTATAAAAATATTATTTTCCACGTATAAAATAATTTGTTATGACACAATAAAAATGTAATTCCATTCATCAAGTTATAATATAAGGAGTACAAAAAATCCTTGAAAACAAGGAAAATTACGAAACAAAGAAAAAAAAAAAAAAAACAAATGGAACCTTCAAACAACCGTTTCGACTATCAAAACTACAGCAAACTGAGAAAACAAAAAGAGGAAGAAATTCTTAGACCCACTTTTGAGAGACAAAGAACACCAACAACATAAGCAGGTCCAATTTCAAATCCTAATTAAACAAGCCGAAGAGCTCCGCTCTGCCTGCAGACTAGCTAAACTCAAAGTAACCAAGCAACAGCATCTTGTGATCTTCTAATTGCTTCTTTGGCCAATGAATCATAAGCAAAATGATTGCCTTCAATTCCTTGTGTAGTCTGTTCAATGAAAAAAACCAAGTGTCAAGATATGATATATAATTCTAATTTTAAATATCTCAATCAATTAAATTAGGAAGGAAAAAAAAATTTCCAAGTGCAAGCAAGGTTTATAATTTGAATTAGTATAAGATTCAAAAGGCTTTTAACAAGCCCACCAACTTGCAAGAAGCGATCTACAACAATTAGTCAACACTTTCCATTAAAGGCCCAATAATACCCATGTATTTCCGCTCATAGTCAACCACTAATAGGAAAAATTTATTTAGATCCGATTTATTTCTCTATTTATAGATCAAACTAATTAAGAATTTTTACTAAAGAGGGTATTTATAATCATACATTTATATAAAAAATAAAATAAAATTAAAATATTTTAAAAAATCCTTAATTTCATTTCTTCTTAACCCAAACCCTAAACACTGAATCATACGGCCTAAGCCCTAAACCCTGAATAAGGTTGAAAAATTGGTTTGATTTTGGACAAGTATTTTCCTTGACAAGGTAAAGACGTACCTTTTAAAACTTTTAAAATTTCAATGGATGAGCTCTTCTTCCCCTGTTTGGCGACCTCTGCCCATGAGAAAGCCCAGTCCGCTGTTAACCAACAATATGAAGCTTAATTAATTAAAAGAAATTGCATGGATCCTGTAAGTATATATTTGCAGGGTAGGAAAGTTTCAATCTATGGATGAAAGATGAGAAAAAAATATATATAAAGAAGAGCAAAGAAAATGAAAACCGTAGGCGGCGGAGGTGGCAAGTAAAGGTGGTTGGGCGGATCCCTTTCACGATAAGCTGACATATATATAAAGAAGAGCAAAGAAAATGAAAACCGTAGGCGGCGGAGGTGGCAAGTAAAGGTGGTTGGGCGGATCCCTTTCACGATAAGCTGACCACTGTTATTATCAACGGAGAAGGAGATTTTAAGATACTGGATAAAGTGTTGAGGTGCCAAGTGCCTTTCCGTTAAGACTCCGTCAATGAACAATTTAAAGACCATTGGCCTTCCAGACTCGATGCCTCGGCGGAAGTACAAGGTGGCTTTAATCTCCTTGGAACCAAAAGGGTTCAGTTCTATACATTCAGGTTGATAAGGGTGCGATTCTTGGATCTTTATTCTACCGTTTGTATTATTTTCTAGTATCGTTACCCTAGACAGCAGCGGCACCATGAACGCCAGTTCTATTGTTTTTCGCTTTTCTTTTCGGCAGGGAAAGGATAACAGAGCTTAAGATGGTAGAGAATGAGACCCAGTTACAGCATGTAAAAGGCAAGAAAAGGGTAATCTAAAACAGAAGTACATAAAGGAGAATTATATATAGGGCTGCGACTGGAAACATATGAACATAGAAAGAAATGTTGATAATTGAAGTGGGCGGCGGCTAAGATATCAATACGCGCGTTGCGATATATGAACATAGAAAGAAAATTTTGATAACTTTAGTAAGACATTCTAGAATGCCTTGTTCGATAAGATATCCATAACCGGGCCGCAATATATGAAAGTTTATACAAATAAATCCATCCCTTCCGTCTTATAAATTTTATCTATCAAGAAAATTTAGTTAAATATATTCTTGTAATAATATTTCATTAAAATTATTGGAATTAATTAAATTATAATTATTTGTTCTATAATAAAGGTAATTGACTAATATATAAGTGAAAAATTAAATGTTGTTATTTTAATTTTGTTTATATTAAGATTCAATCGGTGATAATTTTTCATAGTTTGAAACATATTAAATAAAAATAAAATAGTAAGTTTCAATTACTTTCTACGTAAACGTGAAAATGAAAAAGAATAATAAAATTTTTAATAATATCCTTATAATTAGAACCGATAATTTTAAAATCAAAATTGACTGTTTGAAAATATAATCATACATAATTTAATTTTAATATCGTTGAGGAATAAAGCAATTAATTTCAACATTTCATGTAAATATGATAACTATAGAACTTTCCTTTAATATAGATATAGATGTATATAGAAAGATAATGAAACGTCTTTGCCTTTAGATATCACCGCACGTGTATCGGAGATGTACTCAATTGATTGAGGAAAAGAGAATAATGGTGCCCATAGTCTATATATTATAGAGAGTAGAAGGTACTATTGCTTGATCACGACTCTAAAACCCCTCGATAAATTAAAAACCATATATAATATACATATATATAGGTATACTATTAGGTATAGTAGTACGAGTGGTAATTACCCGGAATAGGAACGCCTCACATATAATTTTAAAAAATTAAACAAAGATGTTAAATATGCAGTGAGCATATGAGTCATTGTAAATAATCTATTGAAAATAAAGAATAAAAAAAATAAGTACCAAACTTCTTTGTTCCCACGATAAATTGAAAAGATAGATGGTGAGTTGAAACTTTATAATTGGGATGTCTCATCTTCATGTGTGTTGGAAAGCAAGCGAGCTTTTGGAGACATAAGCTGAGTTGTAGCTTGTTTTAAATATTAATTGTAATTGTGGTTCTTCCGTCGCTTAATTCATCACTCCTATCGTTTCTTATCTCAGCTTGGTCCATACACTCGGTTTGAACATAATTCTGATCTTTGAAGTTAATGACACATCCCTATCACTTATGCTTATCTGTTACTCCACAGTAGATTACGTTAGGGGCCCCTGCCACATTTTCGAGGGTGCTTACTTAACGTCGCTCATCAGATGAGGAGCACGCACTCGAATTAATCAGAGAGTTAAAAGTGATAAGAGTAGAAGTGTCCAATTATCTAAGCACAGTGTGTCCGCTTAGGTGAGGGATTTATAGTAAAAAAGATAACAAAAAGAAACACAACATTCTTTCTAACGTAATTGCTGCTCCCATTTGAGCTATCGAATCTACATAGTATGATTTCTATATTTTTTATCTTTTAAAGCCATTTTGAAGTATGGGGCAAGCACTCAATATGCAAGAGTATATAGTCCACTTTCAAGATTGATATAGCACACTATGAAATTAAAGCGCGTAAAACGATGAACGCTCAGAGCAACGATATCAGGTCGGAAAGGTTGCTGAGGGAGACGACCGGAGAGGGAACTTTTAGAACGTCGAGGGAAAACGTCTTTCTTGGCAGGTCCAATGTATATATTGTAGCTACCCGCCGTATCTAGCTAGAGTTCAATAGAAGCTTCTGTAATTCTCAAAAAGAACACTACAAGGAGACCCCACACCAGCGAGTGTGAGTCTCTAGTAGTGTGGTTATAAATTTCGAACTATCCATGACATCACCATCTAGGTGATATCTGTATACAGATGCTGAATAGGATACATGTGGTAGAGTGTATTGCAGCCGTAAGAGAATACCACTTTCTGCTATATTGCTAGAATCTAGAATCCAATCGAGAGCTTTCACGAGCAGGCCTTGACACAGTTCACTCACAGATTGTTCTGAGCTGAAGAAGTGACATCTCGACATGTGTATCTAGGGAGCGAGGAAAATCTTCATTACACAGATTTATTTTCTCCTCCAAGGCTATCCCTCCTCTTGTAAATACTCTTCCACCTTACGCTTTGCTAATTTTGACATATTATATATACTAGTATTCTTAGAACTTCTGATTAGCCTCCTTATAAGCTTTATCGTGTATCTTCTTTTTGTTTTAGTAGACTACAGTTTTCCGACATATCCGCGGAGTAATGCCTCTATACTATACGCATCACTAGTCTCTCATAAAGGTCTGAGTCATAAGGAGACTAACTGCCTAGCTGCACGAGGAATCTGCGAGTAAGGAAAAAACTGTTATGTGAGTGCCCTCGTGCGACAAGAGTACACAAGCGCGCTCTTCTATGACAGATACTGGGCGCAGTTTTTATTCGAAATTATATGGTAAACACACCGTTCATCCACAGTCAGATTAAAGAGATAGTCAATGCGCGCCGAAGGCATTTCGCGGTTGCATTATTGAGGAATGCGCACCTAGCGTCCGATTTACATTAGATGTAATTGTCATCACGCGCACACCTCATGGTCTGGAATACTATGCGATGTTATGTGCCACAGCCATACATAATATAATAAGAATGGGATGGGAGCTCTAAATACTGGAGACGCGGGTTGTCAGACCCACCATTTCCTTGAGTCCACTAATGAATTATCCACAAACCCCCCCATGCATGGTCTGCTTCATATCATCTCATCTTGGGGTAGAAAGTCTCACTCTCTTTCGTCCATCTCCTGAACAACTCAGAGTACTTCCTGCTCTACTGTCGAGTTGCCCGAAGATACTCTAGAACTAGTTGTTGTGAGGCGCGCATGTTCTATATCAAAAACAGATAGCCGGACGATGTTTCGAGAGCTTGTGAAGTTACCTTGGGGAGCCAAGATCAATATCAGTCAGTGTGTGAGTGTTGTTTGGAGGCAGACTGGGGATAGAACCAGAAACTGATTGCGGATTATAAATGGAATGACATTTCACAGGCAATAGAGTTACAGAGGCAATCACTAAGAATTCTGCTAGGGATTAAAGAAGATAGGGTATCTCTTCTCGATACGTCTTCTGGATGCTTTACATAGTACGTTTCGGCTTGTTTAGATATGATTACGAATAAATCACACATCAGGAGTATCTTGAGGTCCTTCTCTCGTGATCTTTCATAGAGAGAGAGTGTCTCTTGAGGTGTTTGAGATCATTTAAATCTCTGTAATGAGATGATAGAGTAGAGCTATATTGGATTAAATTTCGATTGTTAGGACGTGTGCTGGTATCAATTGACACCACGGTAGCTGGGAAATTGAATGGTGTATCATTAATGTAGATAGTATTGTAACGCTACATGTCATTGATCTTTATCGAGAGGTGGTGTGTGTCACTCAAGGGCTGAGCGAAGCTATTTGGGAGAACCATGAGTAGATATATATGAGGACTTCAGAGAAGATGATAGAGCCTAGAGCGACGCTTCCAACTGGTACCAGGTAGATCACATGTGTGGAGGGAGAGAGAGTATGTTTCTATGATCAGCAGGGAGCGACTTACGTAAAGTATGTCTTGTCTCGATCTTCGATTCCACTTGTACGGGAGAGTCTTACGAGAGTATATGTACAACTCGATTAGAAGCTGCCATATCATTTAAAGTGAGCACTTCTGCTGAAGAGGAATTAAATTTTTAAAATTAAAAAATGTTAAAATAATACAATAATTAAAATTTTGAATATTAAAAATAAAAAAAATAGTACTTTCTTTTTCCGATAATTAAAATTGGATTAAACTTAATTGGATCTCATTTATGTTGGAAGCGCTTTGCATAAGTAGTAGCTTGTTAAATATTAATTTATTGTTTTCCTTCACACTTCCCTATCTTTTCTTCCATTGGTCTACTTGAACATAATTCTGATCTTGAATTAACCTCTTATTTGTTCGTTTGGCTGCTTTTATGTGTGCTTATTCTTGCATCAATAGACATCCTTTTTATCAAATAAAATAAAATAAATCCAATTTCAGAAGTTTGTCTGCTTTGTGGACTTTTATAGTAAAAAAAAAAAAAAAAACCACTTCTTCTAAAAATTTCCAATTGCACCCTCCATTGTTTTATTTTTTCTTAAACAATTTTCAGATGGGCAATAATTAAATAGAATTAAGAATTGTAGAGTTGAATTTAAAGCTATAGATGAACTGAGCAACATGTTATGCGGAAGGTTCTGGAAGCCGCTAGAATTCGTAGAAAAGGTCTAGCAAGGCCAAGAAAGAGCTACCAAGTTCAAGAAGCTTCTGAATCTATGAAGAAAACTCTAACCCACAAGGTATTTAGATGTATAATCTATAATATTCTAGATTATTCTATATATGTGTAAGGTGGACCGTAAAATATCTCTAATTCTAGAATGATCCAATGAACTTCCACCACACATTTCACACATTTTTTGTGAAGAATTGTAATCACATGTTAAGGAGGTGAAAATTCTTATAAATAACTCATCTCCCCTCATTTGTAAATCATTCAAGCATTTGAATAATAAGAGATCTATAATAAAGCTCTTATAAGCTTTATCGTGTTCTTCTTTTTGTTTAGCTTACATTTTCGCTCCTAAGCTTACTTAGCATATCTTAAAGTTTCAAGGGTGACTAAGTGCCATGCGGATAGGCAAAGGAAAAACTTATATACGTGACAAACAGCTATAGAGAAACCTGGGGAGTTATTAATTTATATGGTAAAACTGTGAAATAAAGATCATTTGGGCTTTGAGGCCGTTATTAAATAGATATTTAACGTCTTGAACTTGTAGCCCAAGCCCAATAAAAATGTAGGCCTAATTTGAGATGTCACCACCATAGTTCATAGTCACTGGGAAGCACTTCTTTCGTCCTCTCCTGAACAAGCCTCTTCCTCCACTTCAGTTGCCACAACCATACATGGGCAGTCTATAACAGTTATGTGAGGTGTATTCTTGGGCACTTAAATAAAATATTTTCAGGTATGTGTTTGGATTTTGTTAAAATTTCTTTTGCTTTTTAATGCTTTTACTGTTTTCTTTATTTGTTTTATATAATTCAGATCGATCTGTTCTCTTTTCCCTGTGTTCTTCAAGTGAATGCTCTTACTGGGTATTAATTATTTGGTTATAAAATTTTTAGCGGCTTAAATAAAAGGGAATTTTGTTTTTTATGTTTTGTATCAATTCTTTGTTTGTTCATTGATTTTGGGCGTATTATAAATCAGATAATTTTTCCCAATCTGATGAACTCTTAAGTTATCGCAAATAGCTATCTTTCTCTTGCTTTCTTGGTTGATTTATGATAAAGATAGGGGAAATGCTCAGAAGTAGAGAATTAATGTTCTTATAGTGCTGACTTGCTCTTCCCTAAGCCGTTTGGTAGGCTTCTACCCCAAAGTAAAGTGGTCTTTTTTCAAGGCTCTAAGCTCAAGACCCGTGCCTGGCTCGGGGAATATCTAGTTTGGTATGTAGTTTCCCACCGTACTAATTACTTGAGAAATGATTGCTACACCTTTCTTGAACATCTCAGTCTAATTAAACTTCATTTATATGCCTATAAAGCATATATTTTCTCTTTGAAGTGATTTGAAAGACTAAATTATGAGTGAAAGGACCTATTTTAAGATTATTGAAAAAAAAAAAATGAATAAGTGAATTTGTTTTGATGTATAACTTAGTTATTGATGTCTTATCTAAGTTATCTTTTAATTATTAATGTTTATGTTGTTAGGTGTTAGAAATTTTGGTAGATATTCTGCATGAATGGGAAGCCTTCTTTACCTTTCTTTTTTGACACATAGAGTGGAAGAATTTGATAGGAAAATAAAAAAGACAATATTAATGTTTGGAATTTCCCGGTAGCATTAATGATTCTCCGGTTAGTTTCTCAAATATATTATCATGGAGTTGCTCCTGTTTTATAGGAATTCTAAAAAAGGTGAGTGTATGTACAGGAAAAAGCTAAACGCTGAAAATTTTCTAGAACAAAAAATTGATTTGCTGAAACTGGTGGATTACTTGATACAAGATATGTAGCCTCAACAAAGGATAAAAGAAATCATTTTCTTTTCGCTGTAGAGGTTTTGAAAAAAAGACCATACAATTCAATCATTTTGCATGATATTCTTAGTATTCACTTCCCAGTTGAAATTTCTACGTTGGATCTAGAAACCCCAGATTGAAAAAATGATTTTCAGAATAAACAGCAAATATTAAAGGTAATTACATATGACATCATTATCAAATTAAATAACTTGGTAGTGGGAAAATAAACCCAAGCAGGAACTACATCCTTTCAGTCCAAATCTAAAAACCCACCCAGTATAACCAGCATGACCTAAACACATGGAGGTTATAATAAAGATAAAAGAATAGTGTGACAATATCATAACATAGAGGTTCTGCAGCAGGTGAACAAATATTGTACTCAGTTTATTTCTCTTCTTGTATGCGTCTTGTTTGATTTTAATTTATGCCATCGTAAATGCACCACCAAATCACTCACATATGCATTATAGGTCATCATTGTTTTTATGTAAGCATTGCTTATCAATCAGTAAGGATTATCAAGTCAATTAATTAAGCCACCAGTACAGTCATCAAGTGCCAGGCTAATAGTTTAATGATTGAAGGAAAATGTGTGGGTTAAAAGTGCAAAATCTCAGGGCTTCTGTACTCTCAATCTAATTTATTTTCCTATTTTTAATTGTAGTCAATGTTGTAAGTTAATTTGTCCTGAGATGAACAAAACTTCAGATATAATAATAATTGTATTATTCTGTGTTTTGTACAAAGATAAAAACTGAATAAAAATGTACTTATTTTCGTACACTATTATTTTTATGCTCTTAACCCTCCACTATATAGTTTATTTGTTGTTTAAAAAAATTGAGAAAAAAAAAAATGAAAAAGCAAAGAGTGTCATGAGGTATTGTTATCCATTATGATCTGTATTATCATGTTGATTAGGGATACTATAATTAAATGACCTTATTTACTATTTTTCTATTTGGAACAGATTATCTAATCAATGCAGATGGTTATATATTTAAGTAAACATGGTCAACTCAGCTGGTTATATTTAGCGCCTATTTTTGTGGCCAGAAATGGAACTTTGTGTACTTGGATGTTATTTTCATGGTTGTTTCTCAGATAATTATATCAATTTTATAGGTTAAATTATTGAACTGTTCATTTTAGGATAATTTTGCTGAAAGATGATTGATGTTGCTGTGTATACAACAGTCTGGAGTTGGAGGAATTATTTTAACTATTCAAGTAATTACTGCAAAAGTTCAAGGTCCAGTTACTGTTTTTATAATATTTAGACAGGTGTAAAGAGTCAAAAAGCAAAATCTGGGGCTTCGTTTCTTTCTGTTTTATAGGGTTTTGTTTTTAGTCTTTGATGCTTTTGCTTTCTAGCTTTTACCGAGTTTTTCGTTTAATCTGAAGTTAGTAATATATATTTTATGTTTACACTTAAGTAAAAATTTCGGTTATTTCAGTTATCACAGTTATTAAGATTAATTTGGTTTGGTGGAAATCTGTTCCTTTTAAATTTTGCAGAAAAAAAAAATTGAGTAAAAACTCTGAGTTTGATTAGATTCATTAGCAGGAAACTTGGGGAAAACTCATTTCTCATAATGTAAATGTAACGTGACTGAATTCAGTTGCTGGTATTTTCTGTGGTAGAGGTTATTCAGTTCTACATCCTCAATCTTTATTAACATCCGAACTCAAATTATTTACAGAAAGTTGAAGGCACCCAAACATGCAAACGGCTACTCATCTTCATCCTTTTTTTTACATCTCCAGCAGGTATGGGTGTGGTTTTGCGTATCCGTACAATCATCTCTTTTTTCCGCTAGTAAATTTCAGTGGTTGCTCTTAATCTTTTTGAAATATAAAAGAAAACGAAATAATTTCAATTGAAGCTTTAAACACATTGCAGAAGAAGCTACATCAAGCAAAATGGGCACATGGAGATTAAAACCTTGAATTCCAGTCAACTCCGCTTCACTGTAGGAGCAAGCATTTATAAATATCTGTCACGCGAGCGGCAAACCAAATTGTTCGCAACTCCTAACACAAATGATGGTCGCCCATCTGTGTCTCTGTTAGATGAAGAAACAATTACTAATCATGCACCTAACTCTGAAGTACCAGCATTCTTGAGCAAATGGTCACCTCCTGGCTACCTTTGGCGGGGATTGTCTGTTCTTGTCTTGGCAGGACAAGTAATTATCCGGATCTTAAAGGGAAAAATTCACTGGAGAAACACTCTTCAACAGCTGGAGAGAGTTGGGCCAAAATCGGTTGGGGTTTGTCTCCTGACCTCTGCATTTGTAGGCATGGCTTTTACCATTCAGTTTGTTAGAGAGTTTATTAGACTGGGATTGCAAAGATCTGTTGGCGGTGTATTAGCACTAGCCTTTTCAAGGGAGTTGAGTCCTGTGGTCACATCAATAGTTGTTGCTGGGCGGATTGGGAGTGCCTTTGCAGCAGAGTTAGGAACAATGCAAGTTTCTGAACAAACCGACACACTAAGAGTTCTTGGCACAAATCCTGTTGATTATTTGGTGACGCCTAGAGTTATTGCTTCCTGTCTTGCTCTACCATTGTTGACATTGATGTGTTTCACAGTAGGGTTGGCATCGAGTGCTTTGCTAGCCGACAGTGTTTTTGGAGTAAGTATTAACATTATATTGGATTCGGCTAAGAAAGTACTTAGACCATGGGACCTAATTAGTGCGATGATCAAGTCACAGGTTTTTGGTGCAATCATATCAATTGTGAGCTGTGCTTGGGGAGTTACTACTTCAGGAGGCGCCAAAGGCGTTGGTGAATCGACAACTTCAGCCGTGGTTATCTCACTTGTTGGTATCTTTATTGCTGATTTTGCACTCTCATATTTCTTCTTCCAGGGAGTTGGAGATTCTCTGAAAAATGCTATGTGATCAAATTGAGACTCTTTGACAATGTATGATAGAATAGTATTCAACAAATTAATATTGTTGAAGTGGCAAAAAGAAAAGAAATGAAAAAAGAAAATTATCATTGGTTCTATTTTTTAAATCTTACTAATATAAACATCATTGGAGTAGGTATGCAACTTGAATTGCTTCAATAAAATAAGCCAATTGCTGGATTTTGTATGATAAAAGTGATTATTGTATCCTTCACTAGTATCTAAATGATAAATTAGAAGCTTCAAGTGTAACCCAAATGGTGGTCATTGCAAGTTCATCATTAGTCAGGGTGGCATAATTATTGATTTGGAAAGTTTGATGATCTCTCACAACGTGAATATCAGTGTCGGCCTATAATCCAATTCCATGATTGCAATAAACAATGTAACAGAACAATTATCCATAATCCAAAAGTGCTTAAGCTCCATTTTCATGCCAAGACTGGGAGCGATCAGTATTCCGTTCGGACCGAATAATCGAACCGATTCATTTTCGTTTGTTCGGTCAGGTTTTATAGAGATTGAACCGATTTATTTTCGTTTGTTCGGTCAGATTTTATAGAGATTGGTTACTAATTGATTGAAATAGTGATAACCGACTGGTTTTTAATTTCTGGTTCAATTAGTTGCGTAGCTAACCGAATTAATTTTTATGCCAAGAATAGATCATTTGGTTCGAAATAATCGAATCAAATCCGATCCGATCTGATTTGGTTCGGTAGCAAACAATTTTCACAATCTTTTGGAAAAAATTTTGATGAACATGAAATCTGTTCAGTTAGACTGAACCAAATAAATTTCAGTTCGATCTGATTCGGTTAAACCGAATGCTCACCCTAGCCATGACTTCACATGTGATCCTCATTTGCATAGCTGGTGACCCTACCCTCCTTCAATGTGATTTGGCATATAGATGTATCTACATACCATTTTCATTTCCATTTCCATTTCCCCACTTAGGTCATTGTTATTCTTGCAAAATTTGACTTTAGCTCAATTATTTTTGTTGGTGCGATGAATTGCAAATAGCAAAAGGTACCATTTTCATCTTTTCTTCTTGCGAGTCGTTGGAATTTAAGTGGAAGGAAAGAAGAGTGCAGAATATGAAAGTCGAGTGAACAGTCATTTTTGCTTCTTTTATTTGGGTACGAGGATGAAAAATGTGTAATAATAATAATAATAATAATAATAAAACTAGTTTCATAAATGTCAAAATTATAATTTCAATGTTGTTCACATTGGTTTTTTTTTCTTGATTAATTAACGTCTAATTAAAATTTGTACTCTAATCTCACAATTTTAAATGTCTTTCATTTTTTTATAAAAAAAAAAAAAAAGAAGTGTAATAGGAGAACTTTCTAAGAGATCAACCGTCTTAATACTATTCTCACCCAAGCATGCATGTTTAAGTTTAAATGTTGTGATGGAATGGAGTGCATTAATAATAGTAACGATCGCACTTAATAATATTACAGTACTATTGAGCTAAAATTTATTACTTTTTCAAAGACTCCAAGATTGAAAAAAGCTAATAATTTATTATTAGCCCCACCTGCCCCCTTTGTCCATTGTTATTTAGGAACATACATTTTAGAAAAAGACCTAACAATCATGCAATAAAGGTTTCATCAGGCAGGCATGAAGTGTATGTGACCAACTGAGAATCCTCAAAAAAAAAAAAAATACTCCCTTGTTATAATTGACCAATGCACTAAATCCCATGCTTGAGGCCACCAAATACATGAAATTCATAAAAAAAATTGACTTTCCCCTGCACCAAAGGTCGAGGTCAAAAACCTCCAAAGGGCCAAATTGCTTGTACAAGGATATGTTTGGAAGCCATTCCTTCAATAGCAATTACTTGTTCAAGTTACTTAGTCCCAACTCCTATAACAATAGTGATTACCATCTTTCTTTTGAAAGAAACCAAATACATATATATTTTTGATATAACCGTAGGCATTGTATCAAATATTTAATTTATGGGTATCTTTCTTTTTTAAAATTTAATTAATCAGCATATAATCTTTTCTTTGAAAGGAAACCAGAAAATACATATAATGAGGTTTTGAAAATATAACCGTAGGCATTTGTATCAAATATTAAATTTATGGCTATCTTTCTATTTTTAAAATTTAATTTAATCAGCATATATATAATATTATTATAATATATATATAGTATAATCTACGTATACTAGTATATAGTAACATCAACGCTGTAGATAATTCAAGCTGACCGTGTCATTTTAAACGTTATATATATATACACGCGAGATATTCAAGCCCGTGTCAGTTTTAACGTCCATAAACCTGATTAATTTCCGCTCGCTCTAAGAGACAAAATGGCTGGCCGCTTGCTCTTAGAGATAAAAGGACTAGTCTGGGAGAAGTTTTCGTTGCTAATTTAAGTATACGAAACTACTAATTTAATAGCCCAAGTTTATTTATTTTGACTATCAAAGACATTAAATTTGACTTGACTGGTTGAGAGAAACATTCATATATAGTATTCTCCCAAACAAGCCCTTAAGTTGGCCATCCATGTATGAATAAAGAAAAAGAAGTGAATTATGGTGTAAAAATCTTGAATCTGAATATAAAAGTTTAATGGAAGCCAGGTGTATTTCCATTCCTAGAACAATCTTAGCATGAGGTATTGAAATCATATGGATTTCTTCGAATTTTCTCTTTCTATTTATTTATTTTTATTTATTTTAAGGTGGGCTTGACTTGATGTTCTGTTATAGTAAACATGCACTGTCGAAGCAATACAAGTTTGTAGGGAAAAAAAAAAAAAATGAAGGACCAAAAAGTGGAAGGGCATGGGAGAGTGGCTTGACTAAGGGCTCATCATGAAATTAAGAAACAAAAAGAATATGATTGTCCTAAATTGAATATTATTATATTCAACCCAACTAGTCCCAAAGTAAATTTAAAAATATTTTTTAATAACGAAAATGAAATCGTAGCACTCGAAACAAAGATATTTTACTGCTCATTACTATTTTATAAAAAGTAAAATCATTAACCTAATCAGTAAAGAGTAATTATCCGATTATGTCTATTGTTGATAAAGAAATATTTGAAGTTGCAAATTTGAGAAAACAAAGCTGTAGAGCATCTTCAGGGATGATCTCATAAGATAGAAAATATTTGTTTATATTGGATTTATATTTATTTTTCATATATAACTGGAATTAACTTATCTAGAATCGAACTATAAATTTACTATTTAAACTAAATCAATAAAAAATTATTTAGTTGAAATGAGTAAATTTCTAACCATATATTGAGAAAAAAAAAGATAAAATAAAATAATTTTTAAAAAATTATGATTTCATTAATTTGATGCACAAATAGAGTCACACAACTGGTTTAGGTAAGTCTAATTCATTCAATTAATTGTTAATTTCATTTTAAAGTTGTTTCTTATTAACTATTTCGTCCTCTTCTTTCGAGTGAAAAGATATTCATAATTTTTTTTTGAAAGAAAAAAAATTCATACTATTATTTACTTGTGACATCAATAAATTTGCTGCATATACATATCTGATGTAGCCAAGTATTATCCTGTCACAAAATAAAAATAAATAACACTCACAGTCTTCAGTATTGAGAATAATCTTCCTTAAAAAAAAAAAAAAGAATATTGAGAATAATCTTGAATTTTATTAATGAATATAAAATATATAATTTATTTATAAATAATAAATTTTAGTTTCAATATAATAAATTATATGATTGGAAGGAATATTTTCCTTTACATTTAGGCTTTGCTTAAAAAGCATAGGAAAAAAAATGTTAGAAGATAGAAAATAATAGATGAGGAAGATAAGGAAATCTATTTCACATTAAGCTATATAATTTTTTTCAATTCATTCGTCATTTTTTCCTACAATTTGGAGCGATTTTAATTTTATGATATTCTAACTTTTTTTCTTCTTTTGATATACTCTCCTCATTTTTTCCAAACAAGGATAAGTTTTCCTCATACATTTTCTTTTCTCAAAAAAATTTTACTACATTCCAAACAAAAGTTAAATGCGTGTGCACATATATAAAAGTAAAAGCTCTCTCTATAACAGCAAGTCTCCCTCTCATGAAACTTGCGTATATGATCACTAGCTAATAAGTGGAAAGGAACTAGAGTCACATTCATATATATATATATATATATATATATCATATAACAATTTGGGAGGAGATTTGATACCATTTTTTTTAGTGAATTTATTCACTAACTCTTTTTTTCTCTTTGATATACTCTCTCCAATTTTTCCAAACAAGTGAAAAGTCTTCTTTTTCCTCATACATTTTCTTTCTTCTATGAAAAAAATGTTTTACTAACACATTTACCAAACAAAAGTAATGAAGAGATGCGTCACCTGTGCCAAACATATATATGAAAGTATAGAAAAGAATCGTCTCTATTCACAACACGCATAGTCTCATCCCTTCGATGAAACTTTTTGCGTGAATGACTGGGAGTACACACGATAGCTAAATTAAGTGGATAGGAAACTTAGAGTCACATTCATAATCTATACTATAACAATAGTCATACCCATACACTTACTCATTACATGGCACCCACATTTATATCTTTAGAGAAAAGCTATATAATATAAATAGTATATCACATTAATTATTTAATTAAACTAAAGGTTAATATAGCTGTCTAATAACCAGAAAGAATCACAAGCTTAAGCCCCCAGATGCAATATATATATATATATATATATATAATTACTCCCATTAACTTAAAAAGTATATAATATATAGTTATAATTAATTTTATTAAACTAAGTTAATAGCTTCACCAGAAGAAGCTTAGCCCCGATCAATGTCATCAGGTTCATCCTATCACGACCAAAAACAATCAATCTCATTTTGAAAAATAAGTATATATTATGTATATTATCACCACAAAACCTAAATCTTGATGTTTCCTGGAAACCAACTTCACCAACACACTTCTTATATTTTGTAGTAATCTCACCCAGAGATTAAGACTTTCGTCAAGTTGTTATCAAAATTTCGACGTGACTGTTGTAATAATGCATGGATAGTTATTTGAAACTCTTTCCAATTTCTTTTGGTTTCCAGCATTGATTGAGATTGCCTTGATATGATTTTTCTTTTTCTTATGTTTCAAATTTTTCTCAACTGCTAATGTTATATTATC